TGATTACATCCCTTACCTTTGTTGGTAATTTTGTTTCTTCCTCCTCGCCGTGTTCTGTTTCTTTCCTTGTGGTCCTCCTTTTCTTCTCTCCTCCATCATTTGAGTTCACACAGCTCTCCTCTTTCTTTTTACAATTCTTCCTCCTCTTTTTCACTCCTTCCTCTTCTGTACCACTTCCCTCTACATCGCCCCTCTCTCTCTGCCTCTTCCTCCCTCTTTTCTTTGCACTTTGTGATTTTGGACTCTCGCGGTCATCGTCTGGTACAGCGAGCAGTGCCTCTCCTCCTTCCATCTCCTCGTTTTTCTTTTCCTCCTTTCTTTCTCCCTCTGCTTTGCTTTTTCGATTACACTGTTGAGTGTCATTAAACTTTCCCTTTGACTCGCTTCCTTCTTTATCTTCAGCTCTCTCGACTCTTCCTGCTCTTTCATCGTCTCTTTCTTTTCTCCGCTCCGTTTTTAATTCCCGGTTGCCTCCGCCGGGCCTCTCCTCCGCTTCCATCTCTCCGAACACCTGACACCTTTCCAACCACTTCCTGTCGACACAGCTCAGCCTGTTGGCGAGAGAAGGCTGTTTAAACAACCCCGCTCTGAAACCAGCTGAAGGACCAGGGTCAGGACTTCTATGTGGAGTTTCTAACATTTCTGTTCTGTTTTCTACACTCTCAGTGAACTCTTCTGTGTTTCCAAACACAGGCTGGGAAGACGAGGACGGGTTGGTGGGATTCAWCATAGAGTCTTTTTTATCAGCATCAAAACTACTGTTGTTGGAGGTTCTGACAACATCTGCAGGTTCAGCATCAAAAGGTTTAAAGTGCTCCTCAGGCTCTACTGAACTGAGTGTTTTGGAACGCAGTGAACCCTGGCATGGCTTCATTCCTCTGCAATAAAAACACAACAACAAACTAGTAAATTACTTTGCATAAGGTTTTAATGAACTGTTTGATTCTTATAATAGTACCGTAATAAAGTACAAACACATTTACTTCGTATTATTTACAATACAAGGTGACCAGTGTTTGATAATGTTCACCTCCATCTTCTACTAGAGGAGAAACAAATGTTTTTTTTAATCAGAGCCTTGCTGATAATATGCAGGTAACGAGTCAGAATTAGTCTTTTTAGCTACCTTGGAGAGAAGAGGCTGAGATCATCAACAGCTGGGCTCTTTTCAGCCTCAGTGGATGAACTGGGACCATTTGTTGTCTGACAATCTTTCAGAGAATTCAGAGGAACTCGACCAGTTCGGTGGGATYTCTTCAGTGAGACGGGCCTCTCCTGCAACCAGAAAAACAAATTAATAACAGTACTGGAGCCACAAGAATGTTTTCCTAATTGGTTCGTTGGTTAAGACCATTCTTTTCACTTTTGTCGAAATGATCGAGCTCATGGTATTTTTGTAAAGTTATCCTCACTTTACTTAGTGAAGCAAGGTTGTTTTTGAGCTTTAGCCCATAATACTGTGAGGAAGCCATCAGACTGTCTCTGTCCTGGGACGTRAGTCGCGGAGCAGACACCGGCATCGCTTTACGATTCAAATGGGCGCCCCAACTCTCTGACTCCTATATCAAAACAAAGGCCAAGAGAGAAAATAAATGAACAAGTTCACTTTCTATTGATAAACAATTGTTTACATAGAGACAAACTCTAATGATAACAAACACAATATTAATCCCCCATSCCATTTCATAATCATGAAGCTATTTTCAACTAGTTTTTCTTCAGGACCTTATGAGTCGAGTTAGGCTGAGTTTTATTTTGACTGCCGGAAGCATCAGTGCTGCTGTTCTCTTTAGCTTGTTTTAAACTCTTGTACTCCTTATACAGATCTGCAAAAAATAATAATAAAATAAAAGGTAAGTCCATTTTCTCATTGCTCATGTTCATTTTTGTGCTTCAGGATGTGTCAAAGTTTAAGGTCAGTACTCACTTCTTGTCTCCTCTGGAGCTTGATCAACGTCCTCCTGCAAATGACAGCTTGTTTACTTTTATGAAAAGGTAAACAGGTTGACACAGTAAACACTGTGTTGTGTGAATGAGCAGAATAAACAGGTGCAAAATTGAATCACCTTGTTGGGTTTCCTCTGGTGCTCTCTGACAAACCCCTGCTCCCATCTTTTCAGCAGGATCTTTACTTCGTTGTACCGATCCATAGTAAACACAGACAGGCTCAATAACTTACTCCATTAATCAGATTATTTCAAAGATCCACGCTACAGACGTTGCATTATTTTTAGTATAAACGCTGAAACACTGAGTGTTTTAAGACGTAATGTGACTCGTTACATTCCATTTTCTGTACTGAACATTTCTATAATTTAACAAATGAACAACACGATTTTTCTGAAGTTTCTACGACGTTCAAAGCAAAGCGGAAGTAGTACTGTTGATTTTCCCGCGCCAGTGTTGTCACTTCTTGYATTCCTTAATCGGATCTTTTAAATGCAAAATTGTTCACGAATTGATCAAGACATAAAAGTTTGTATTGCATATAAAAGACATATATATATATATATTTTTTTTTCAAATAGCTTCGTGAATTTTTTAATACAATTTTGCTGCCTCGGAGTTTCAAAACAAAAGGGGGCGCTTTAAAGTGATGCACTTCCGGTCATATTTAAAGCGACAGTACTTTTTAAATCAGCCACATAAATATTATTTTCAAATAAAAAAATGCCTGTAAATCGTGCTTTTATAATTGACTGCGCAGACTGACATATTTTATGTATAAGCTCATATTTTAATGTGTGGGTATTTATAAGATAATTTAATAATTTATGCAGTTTCAGAAAATGAACTCTAGATGGAGTCATGAGTCAAGATTTTAGTGGCTGACCAGGATTACAGAGTGATACAGTCCATTGAAACATATTGCCTTTTCTGTATTTGGAAGTGAATTTGTCAAATACATGAAAAAGCTGCAAAGTCCCTAATTGCATCCATTCATTATCTTTACCGTTATTTCTCTTTATGGGTCACAGTGTACATTGGGTACCTATCTCCAATCAACCATTCATATTCTCTCTCCTCACATGCAAGTTCCTGGTCTGTGGGAGGAAACCCAATTACAGAGAAACCCACATATGATGGAGAGAACATGTAAACTCCTAAACTCCGTCTAGAAAGTCCCAGGCTGTGAAGTGATCCTGTGACCTTCACTTTGACAGGCGACAGCTCTAACCACTGTCCCATCATGCTGCTGAGTCGCTGGTTTTATAAAGTGTAATTATTGTAAATATATTAAACTGTTAGATTAATCAAACAGAACAACACAGTGTAACAAAATCACTTTATTATCAGTAGTGCCTATAAAAGTGAGACAGGTGGAATGTAAAAACGTTCCAGTTTTGATAATGAGGATGGATTTTTTTATTTATTTGTTTTTTTTTTTCATGATTAGACATCAGTTCATTCCAGCTGTGAAACCTCATGGAAGTACGCAGCCAGCATCTTGGTTCCCTGAATGTAGTTTGATCTAAAAAAAAATGAAGACACAAAAGAATTTTGTTTTAGAAAATCTTAAAAATCACTGATGCACTTTAATTACTGATCGAAAAGTAATAACATTGTTCTTTTATTAATTTTTAATGAGTTTGTTAAAAAAACATTTCAAGAGATGTGAATTTAAACCTGTTGATCTTTTCATTCTGGGAGTGAGCGCCATCGTCGCAGGATCCTACAGGAAGCAGCATGACGTTCCGACCCGTGGCCTCCTGGAAGGTCAGGGTGACGGGGATGCTACCTCCTTCACGAGTCAGGTCCGGCTCTACGCCAAAGACTTGACAGCAGCAAAGAGGAAAGAAATGTAAAAATTATTAACTTTCAAACTTTTTATGTGCAAAATTATGAACCAAGAATGATGAATAAACATCAAAGAATTATTATTTTATTCATATATTTTGTTTCTACCTGTGTTTATCATCTGAAATACTTTATGATTTTTGCTGAAAGTAGTTATGCAGGAAGTAGTTTATGTAAATATATTTAGTTACGTGAACAGATTCATACCCGTCTTCATGGCCTTTCTACCAGCCATGTAGTGTGGGTGGTTGAAGTCACACACCCAGGCTTTGGCTCCGTGGCCCATGTACACTTTCATTTTGTTGGGGGTTCCCAATTCTTCAAACGTCTTCTGTATGTGATCAATCACCTAAATCAATTTAAAAAAAAAAAAAAACAAAACAAGTTTATTTTTGAATAAAATATAAATGAAGTCTGAACGGTTCAAAATGAAGTGGCTTCTCTGAAACATGTCAATGAGCGGTCATCTAATGTC